TGACATGGAGGTAAGTCAGAAAGGGAGCTATATTGATGGTTAAGACAGAATAATGACAACATAGCAGTCTAATGTTAATGTACAGACTCCTGTGTCCCCCCATATGTATAATGTGTATCAACAGTCTTTCTAGTCAATAGTTTACTGATATTTCTTCCATGTTCACTCTGGTGTGTTCAGAGTAAAGAGAGAGAGAGGGAGAGAGAGAGAATGTGAGCATGGCGACCAGACAGGGAGAGTGTGCGCTGGTGACATGGAGGTAAGCCAGAAAGGAGCTATATTGATGGTTAAAACAGAATAATGACAACATAGCAGTCTAATGTTAAAGGGGACCTATCATGCAAAATGCACCTTTGTACGTCTTTTAAACATGAATATGTGTCCCCGGTGCGTCAGGGAACTCACCAAGAGTCAGAAAACACAACCCTCTCTATTTTCCTCCGTGCACAAATCTCTAAAAAAGGGGCTGCAATGGATCTGAAAAAAACGGATCCAGATTGAGCACCGTCCTGACGTCAGGACGGTGGCGCTACGGCTATTGGGCCAACTCCACCAATCAGGAGGAGACAGCCACGTGCTTTGCCGTTCTAAAGCGCTGGAGAAGCTGTAGAAGCTGTAGTACATTTAAAAGGCCAAAAGATGGTGCTGTTCTCACTGAATCCAAAATGTCAGGCTCAGTGTTAATTTGAGCGAAATGAGGAATGGCTAAAATGCATGATCTGTTTGGTATTTAGAAAAAATCTATATATAAATATGCCTTATATAGGTATGGTCCTACACTATATTATTCAAATATAGCATGATAGGTCTGCTTTAATGTACAGACTCCTGTGTCCCCCCATATGTATAATGTGTATCAACAGTCTTTCTAGACAATAGTTTACTGATATTTCTTCCATGTTCACTCTGGTGTGTTCAGAGTAAAGAGAGAGAGAGGGAGAGAGAGAATGTGAGCATGGCGACCAGACAGGGAGAGTGTGCGCTGGTGACATGGAGGTAAGCCAGAAAGGAGCTATATTGATGGTTAAGACAGAATAATGACAACATTTCAGTCTAATGTTAATGTTAATTTAAGATGAGATCATCCTCATATGTATTTCAGATAATACCATCAAGCAGGGAGAGTGAGTTTGACAATGAGAGAGAGAGCAGCCAGGCAGGTGAAAATGAAGGTACAGGAAAGGAAGGGGAGGAGCTTGGACTTTGCCCAAATCATCCAAATGTGAAAGTCATACCCAGTCAAACCCTATCAAATAGAATACTCTACTTTCAGGAGAAGTGGTTTGAAGATCATACATGGCTCCATTACAGCCCCTCTGTAAAAGGGGTCCTCTGTTTCTATTGTGCTAAATACTTTGCAGCACAAAAGTCTAAGCTTGCGTCAAAAGCAGATTCAGCGTTTGTCAAGACTGGTTTTAACAATTGGAAGAAGGCACTGGAGAAATTTAGTGTGCATAAACACAACCAGTGTCACAAATGAGCTGTGATGACTAGGATTCAGGAGCCAGAGCCAGTTAATGTGCAACTTTCACATGAGCTTGAAAGACGGCAGCAACAAGCAAGAAGAAATCTGATGAAGATTGTTGAGGGTGTGAGGTACTTGGTGCGGCAAGGTTTGGCTTTTCGAGGCGATCAGAAGGAGAGTGGGAATTTAAGCCAGCTTCTAAAGTACAAGGCAACGGGCGATGCAGAGCTGACCTCCTGGCTAAAAGGTGCCCTCGATTTCACCAGTCCGGAATTGCAGAACGAACTGTTGAAGGTGATGGCCAATACAATCATCAAAGAAATTGTGTCGGAAATAACATAAATGCCAGTGGTCCAGTTCGCAATTATCATTGATGGCACCCAAGATATATCAGGAGTTGAGCAGGAGTCAATATGTGTGCGCTTTGTAGATGCAGATCTACAACCAAAGGAAGAATTCCTGGCCAAGTGTCATCAACAACAGGGCAAAATATAGCCAAGATGGCATGTGATGTGATGACGCGCCTACAGCTTCCTCTGTCTCAACTCCGAGGACAAACTTATGATGGTGCCGCAAACATGGCTGGACGATTGCAGGGAGTACAAGCCATTTTAAGGAAAGAACAACCGCTGGCTGTGTATTGTCACTGTGGTCCCCACTGCGTGAACTTAATTACGCAGACTGCTTGTGGAGCCTCTCCACTAGTAAGAGATGCAATGGGTCTGGTCCATGAATTGGGGGGCTTCTTTAATCAATCTGGCAAGTTCAAGTTGATTTTCCAGAATATCGCAAAATCAGAGCATGGTTCAACTTTCACCTCATTAAAGCCTCTCTGTCCCACCAGGTGGACTGTACGTACCCCAGCCATCCGCTCAGTTCTCAAGCAGTATGAGTCAGTGCTGATGGCCCTTGAAGAAATGGCATCATGCAGCTCACCTGAAACTTCAGCCAAGGCCAATGGTCTTCATGGAACATTTCTTAAAGGGAACACTGTGCTCTGCCTTTTAATGGCTGAAGACCTGATGGGGGATTTGGAGTGCCTGAACACCTCCCTGCAGCTTAGGAAACAGACCGTTTCAGGCATGTTGGAGGCTGTAGACCATGTCAAAACAAGCATGCAGGTCAAACGAACGGAGGAGCATTTTGATGTATTGTTCTCGAAAGCAACTGCTGTGGCAACAAAGTTGGACCTACAACCAATTCAGATCCCTCATGTCCGCAAACCTACAAAGCGTTACACCGGTCAGGCTGCAACCCATATCCATCCCGATGCCCAGTCCTTGTACAGAGTCCAATTCTACAATGCCTTGGACACAGTGAATACTCAATTCATAGAGAGGTTTGAACAAGCTGGATTCCACAAGCTGCAGCAGCTTGAAAATGTGCTGCTACACGGAGACATGGACAAGGTGGTAGAAGAGTATCCTGAATTTGAATTCAAGACTACTGCAGGTGCAGCTGGCCATGTTTGGGGCTAATTACACCTATGAAACAAGCTCAGATGTTGCTAGCATTATTCGAGAAATGGTGCCAGAGGTGAGAGGTCTCTTCGGTCAGGTGGAAGCTTTAGTAAGGCTTCTGTTGGTCGTCCCTGCCTCTTCTGCAGAGGCTGAGAGGAGTTTTAGTGCCCTGAGGAGGCTTAAGACATGGCTTAGATCATCGATGAGTCAAACGAGGCTGAATAATGTGGCCATATGTCATGTGCACCAGAAGAAACTGGACAGACTGGACCTTGAAGGAATATGCCAGTCTTTTATCAGTGCCAACGATAAGCGCAAAAAGGCTTTTGGGTCCTTTACTTGAGGGTTGGGCTTTTTGGGCGGGTGTCTGGGAGGAAGTTGGGGGTCTTTTTGATTTTGAATGAGCGGCAAGCAGCTAGTGCGAGTCGTGGCTGTAAAACAAAAGGGCAATAAAGTGTTCCTGTTTCTACTGAAATTGCGTGGCACAGACCTTTCTATGGATTGAAATGCTTTAATGTGATTATGGTTATAGTTGTAGCTACTTTATTCATCCCTAATCTCTGCCATTACAAACAACAAAACAAGAAAAGCTAAACTAGATAAAATAGGGCGATGTAATACAATGCACAATTAGACATTATGGTAAAACATTTTAACCAGTTAAGCCCCAAGCCTGTTTTTCAGGTCTCAGGTTTGAAAATGACATTCCCAGAACAATTGACTATATCTTCACTTCTAAAAATGGTTAAATGAATAATCTTTTTTCTCAAAGCAATGATAAACCCGTGAGTTGGATGTAGAAAAAGTCAGAATCAATATAGATGTTTTTAAAGTAAATTGAGATTGAACATAGTAAAAAAAATGTAAATGATAGTGTCCGTGCAAAAAATAAACCATTACTTATTGTGAAAACCACCCTTGAATGATGGGATAGTAGACTAAAAGCTTTAGGAATCCAAACTATAACATATAATAAGTACCCTGTATCAAGATTGATGCAAAACAAGTATTTCCAAGGCACACCTTTATATGATCATAATAGTTATACAAAATAAGAGAATAACAGAATAACAGGTATGAAATCATTCCAACTCATACTACAGTTTAAAAAGGGAGTGATTTGTAAAATATGCATAAAGAAAAAGTAAATCTGTTCAGTTCTGTTTCACATGGGTGTTGTTGAGATGTATCCATAGATCTCTTTATGTTGCTCTGAAAGTGCACCAGATTGATGCTTTTAACTTCAACATTTAAAAAAAAATCTTCCCGGGGGAGCATGCCCCCGGACCCCCCTAGAGGAGGTGAGGTCCCCCGCCCGCCCACACCCCCGTCAAATTGTCCCACCCACATTGAGGATGCTTCCTACACCCATGCCTGAGACACAGTTTTGTGACTATTGTTGTGTTTTGCCCCCACATGGGGGTTTAACAGGTTTTCAAGTATCCAATGTGTTAGTGATTTTTTATGTATTTCCCTTTAGAATGGCAGGCAATTAGTATTCAAATGTGTATTGAATTTTTGGTCCCCCCCAATGTTGCCCCCATGAATACGGCCCTGATTTCTACCGTGAGTGCTGTGCAAAAGTCCGTTAGCATTAGTTAGCATTTTTTCGCTCCATGCTAATTCAAAGGCTTGGTATTACTCTTGTGTTTCTTTTAGCTAAAAATGGTTCACATTGTCAGTTAGCTGAGTTTCTTACCGTTAAAAGGGTATGGAACATTAATAGTTTCATAAATGTTAAGAAGCCCTGAGACATAGTCTCGTAAAAAAACGGTGGTAAGGGTCCACTGGGGGGACCCTCGGGCTTAAGAGGTTAATTGAATATGTTTACCGACTGATACTTGACAGGTCACAAACAAGCTGTTGTATAAATAAGACCATTTGTTGCCAGGTAGTGCGCCCACACATTAGTCTAAGTAAAGATCTGCCGAAATGAACACATGTTCGAAGATGTGAGTTTTATTTTTAACATTATGAAGTCTTTGAAGGCAACTATAAAGTATTGTATTCATGCATTATCAGGGTTGATTAAAAGCACAAAGACTAGATCATATGGAACACGCAGTGGTGTCTACCTTCTCTGGGCTGTGGTAGCCTGTCCTTTGCAGAGCCAGGATGGCGGTGTGTAACGGGAAGCCCCTCTCCGTGATGATTCCCAGGAGCTCCCTCTCCTCCTGACTCAGCGCTGACAACAGCTCTGCTGCGGAGTCAAAGAAAACCCCCCGAGAGCCTCCGGTCCTCTGGGCCTGGTGACAAGGGAGGAATAGATACAACTATTGCGTTATAAAGAAGAAGAAACGAAATGATGAATAGTTTTCTCATAGACTGGGACAGAAAAACCACAACCTGTCTGCAGTTTTTGACAAGGGGCCCAGCAGAGGAGGGTCTTGGCTGCCTGGGGGTGATTGGAGCAGGGGTGGTCTGGGAGTGTTTTCTGCCCAGTGAGCGCTGCCTCTTCTTGCTGCTCTTCTGTGAAGAGGAAGGACCAGGCTGTGTGTCTTTGACTCTCGAGAGGGGCACTTTGGGTGCAGCGCTCCGGGGCCGCTCTCTGTTCATTATGGAGAAATGGGGGGGGTCTTCAGCGGAGGAGGCTTCATTATCCTCGTGGTACCCATCTTCCTCCTCAGAGTCAGAGATGAGGAACCTGACGGTGCGCTGGTGCCCGCGGGGGTCTGCAGAGTTCAGGCTGTGGCTGCGGGGTCGAGGGGCCCACATCTCACGGCTCCTGCGATTGGCCCTGTGGCTTTCCTGAGGGCTGCTGAACATCAGCCAGTAGGGGGGGCAGGAGGGGGTCTCAGAGACTGGCTGCTGCCCGCTTAAGATCCATTTCTCCAGGTTGAATTTATACTGGAGGTAAATAAATAAAAAAGAAGATCTTCAGCAACAAGATGTATACACAGCAGTCTTAGTAACAGGTGTTACTGATACTGATGGCTCCTTTACATTCAATTGTCTCAGTAGGCTAATTAAAACCCGGACCCTGAAAATGACACAGGTAATGGGATTCATCTATTATTTATTTACAGCCAAGCTTTTTCCTTTGTCTCATACCACCATTGTGTCTTACTTCAAAAACACTTCAATAATAAATGCAAGAGAAAATGCATGAATTAGAAAGTCATATTGTGGTTGTATGCCTCTGCCATCAAGCTGCAGCCTTAATTCATATCCGATCAAAATTGAATCACTTTAATTAATTCATCATATTAGACATTTGTGTGGAATTGTCGCAATAGACAAAATCTTGGCCAAAACGAAAAAAAACGTCATAAAAAGTCATTGTATAGGACGTCATAGAAATGGATTTATAATGATATAAACTACAATGAGAAATTGATTTAGAAAATATGGTAAAGCCATTGAGTCAAACTTCTCACTGGCATTGAATTGACCCCAGTAAAACTTGAAATCTTAAATATGTTGATGTTTCATCAGATGAGACCTCAGTGTCTCGCAGTATCCGAGGGCAGTCTGGCAGAGCGATGTCTGGAGCCGTCACCTCCTCCTGCAGCGGGCCCAGCAGAGTCTGAAACGGGACGTCCTCCAGAGTGCTCATTGTCCCAACAAACAACCTTCACCAGAGAAACAGAAAGAGCTTCTGAGTTTTAAGTTTTCAAACCAGAGCTTCAGCGAACTTGTTTTAATTCTTACCTTTGTCAGCTCTTCTCTGAGGTCCGCACTCAGCCATCTGAAGAGTTGATGGTGAGGAAACACAAAGACATTATCGTACGTGATAAATCTCATCACTAAGCCTCTGACATCATGTGAGGAGTTGTTTACAAATGCACAGGTACAGATTAATTTAACCATGTATACAAATAATGATATGCAAGACTAACATAAAAATGATTAACCAATAGCACAAATTAAAATATAATTTTTACTATTATGTTTATATGAAGACACATTTTCGTATGACTTTTTAATTTGAATCTCAATTTTCCCTCGAAGGGGATTAGAGAGTGCTGACGATAATATCCAGAGATTAGCCGATTACATAAAGCTGACAGCGTGGCAGGGTGGAACAACAAGTGATGTAACAATTGTTCATATTTCATGCAAATGTCATCATATGGTTTGCAGTAAAAACATGAATAGCAGTGATAAGATGTTCTTGTTTTCATGGACACTTTATTTTTAAATGTGCCAAAGCTACATTATATGTTGAAAATCAAATATAACAAGAACAAATATGTTTATCAAGATCATTTCCTGTTTCCTGTGTGGAAGAATGTTGCACTGACTGATAATGAAATCATTGTAGAGCATGATGTGGTCTGTAGAAGTAAAAATGGGAAGCACAATCGAAAAGTATTGTACAGAGATTTACATTTTATTTATATATTTTAAACAATCACAATAAATGTTGGATTCACAAACTTGGGTCGGGGGTACAGGTTCTGTAACAGACCTCTGAAAACAGGAAAAGCAGTTTTAAACTTAACTTAAAAGAAAACTTAAAAGCAAAGGGAGAACAGGTCTACTTTAATCTCATGTTATAGCACAGACAGCGTTTTAAAGAGTACAGCAGCGTGGTTCAGTTCTGTCAGAGAGCAACGAGGCTTGATTACAGACGGGTGCACCGAGATACTTTAGTAACAGGATATTACATCACTAACAGAGAGGTGAGTTTCCAACACTGGGGTACGCACAAAGAAATAAAAATACTTGTGCTGTTCTGAGGGGGGACTGACACAGCAGGTTCAGAGCCAACTGGAAGAGATTATCCTTCTGATTATAATCTGGTTAATAACGCTTGGGTAGACCATTTTAAAATGTGATTTTGTCAGGTACTGGTTATCTGTTCATCTACCTGCTGATCCTGCAGAGTCCTGTGGGGAGGTGTGTGAGCAAAACGATACATTTTCTAAAGACTGGGCTACAAGAGGAAGCAAAACACTGAAAAATAACCATTCTTGCTGCTTTAAAAAAGGTCACCATAATTATTATTATTAACCTGCTTGTTTAGTTTGCTGGGGCGTTACACTTCACAATGTGTTCATCTATTTAAAGTTCAAGGCTTACAAACTGTTTACAAATGCTACGTCAGCAGCACTTACAGCCCAGTTTGACTGTGAACACCATTATTACAATGGTGGTAAAGAAGACAACATATTGATGTGCTCGTGGAATTATGCCCTTTTGATTCAAGGCATTACTTGACTTGGTAACATCACGTCTACACTTTTTCAGCTCCACTTTTTTTTTTCCAAGTGTACAGTATGATCCCATCGTTTCCATTTGCTTCCCTTGCCTTTACAGTCAGTCACCACAAAAAGAAAAAAACTAGCTACAGATCCTTTCATGAATAAAATTGCATTATCTTTATATAGATACAAATTTGAACAAATCCCCAGAGATTGAAATATTTTATAAAGGCCCACCCTGCGAGTGCACCGCTAGAGAATTAACGTTTCAGATGCACGGGACCAAAGGACTCGTCGTGAAAACACCAGCCTTCAATACTTCTACTACAGTGTCCACAGCTTGTTTGTCGGGGGTGTCCAAAGATTCATAGCGATCTAATGGTTTCAGAGACTGTCTTTAGGTGAATTGAGAGACATGTGGTTCAGTTGTTAGCAGCGTCCGCCTGCCGAGGCCAGTTCTCCTCCTCGACGCCCGAGTCGTATTCCTCCTCTGTAGACTCCTTGGCTGGAGCTCTGAAATTCAAATGGAGACTCAAGTTCAGGTTTCACACCGCAAAACATTGTGGCCTCAAGGAGCTTGATTGAGGAATCTGATCTCCAACATTACACACTTGTGGATCTGTGAGCAGAGAAACACTGACCTGATATATCTGGGTTGTGATTTTCCCAGGACGATGTCTTTGTTCAGCTCAACAGCCATGATGTCAGAGTGTGGCACCTCAAACATGGGCTCGAGGAGGAGCATTTCCTATGAAGAGTGAGGATGTGTTCAATGAGTGTTACATCAACAGGACAACAGGAGTATTCAAGTTTGAAACCTGTCATAAAGACACATACCATGATGGACCTGAGCCCACGAGCTCCGGTTTTCCTCTCCAGAGCCATACGGGCTATGGCCATCAAGGCATCTGGGGTCACGTTGAGTTCACACTGAAAAAACAAACACTGCAGATTAATTTGAAATTCTACATATACAAACATTCAGAGTTAAACAAATAGACCCCTGAGAGTTACATCCCTGCACTCTTTTTTATGCAGATCTGACACAAGAAAAGCGAGCTGCCTGTCAGCCACCAGTGAGACGGAACTCTACCAGTAATGTGTACTCGCAGGTTTTTAATTACATGACCCTGCTTTGTGTTGTGACATCAGCTCAGTGGAAACCCCCACTCAATGGCATCCGCACTAAGCAAATGCAGTGGTCTCATTCAAATAAATGAGGGGGCTGTGTTTGCTTAACACAGTGCTGCTGCCTGTCTGAATACAGCTTTACAAGTCAAATAAATAGATTACAAAATATATAGATTGTTTTGACGGGGGTTAATCAGTGTTAGAAATATTGGACATTACTCCGGATAATCCACAGCAACTTGCAAATGTATCACCATGCAGAACCATGCATGCCTGTACTCATGGACAGAGGCTTGTGCTCACTCCTTAGCGGTCGCTTTGTTACAACAAGCCTATTTCGTTTCATTACATGTTAAAGAAGGCAGACATTTCTACGGCTGATATCTCCAACGCGAGGCAACTCAAAGCAAAACTATCAGGATTGACATTTCCTAAAAATGATGGGGTATTATTGGCTCAACGCTCCCTTCAACACAGTACTGTAGCAGCCACCTTACATTGTCCATGCTGAACAGAGCCTGGTACTGGGGCACCACAGCGTTGCGTGGCTCCGTCAGGATTCGGACTAGCGTCTCTTGGTCCAGGCTGTGCAGAGGGACGACCACAGGAAGACGCCCCACAAACTCTGGGATCATCCCGAAATCGATCAGGTCTCTGGCCTCCACGACCTTCAGCAGCCGGTCCTTCTCCTCGATCTCCAGCAGGGTGTCCGTCTCTCCGCTGGTGTTGGCCTGGTCTGCGGCGGCCGCTGCACGGCGGCCCTGCCCCATGTTGGAGGGAGTTCCAAAACCCAAATACTGGGGAGTAATGAAACAAGAGGAACAAGTTAGAGTGACTCTGTGAGCTGACTATCTGAGGACACAAACAAGTCACATTAAAACGTACCTTTTCATTCTTTCTTCTGCTGATGATTCTGTCGAGTCCGTTGAAAGCACCGGATGCCACAAACAGGATGTTCGTTGTGTCGACCTGCACCGTTTCTCCTCTCAGCTTCCTGGAGTTCTTCTCAGGAACATTGACGATGGTGCCCTCCAACAGTTTGAGCAACCCCTGACGGCGAGGAAAAGAAAACAACCATCAATATTTAACAACAAAGCATCAGGATACTCGTAACAGTAAATAAATCCAATGTGCTGCCGTATTTATAAATCAAAGCTGTGTCTATAAAGAAATGCGTTGAATGTCTTTTGAGTGCAATCGGGTTGAATACTGACCTGCTGGACTCCCTCTCCTCCTACATCTCTCAGCTGATGGATTCCAGGCACACTGCCAATCTTATCCACCTCATCCAGAAACACAATACCTGCACATGAAACACAACACAGCATTAGTTTCACATCTCGAAACTGCATGACGGCAGCCTCAGTCTTAACTCCACTGTCTGCAGACATTTAAACACTCTTAATGTCATATTAGTAACATCACATAACATGATAAAAAGGTCCAAATGATCCAACCACTGCAAAGTAAAGTAAGTCGATATCAGTTTCATTTTTGACAAGGGTGACTCACTGCTGCGGGGAGAAACCCTTGTCAAAATGGAACTGATGTTTATTTTTGTTCATCCAAGGTTTTTTTTTTTTTTTCCTTCCTCTCCATGCTAGCACCTACGATAAGATCAAGCCACTTATACAACACCCATGGAAGGAATTGACATAAATATGCACAATGAAACAGTTGAGGAATAATGCGGTTACTGCTGTAGAAGTAAACATTATTTTAACAAGGGTTGAGTCTCCCAGAGTTTAGATTTAACAAGATTGTCATGGCATTGCTTTATAGACTTGAATCTGTAACAATGTAACATTTATAAGCTGTTAAAAGATCTGTGTATATATGAGCGAGTGCAATGAAAACAAAGGTGGTTCTGTTTTATACTGTATGACGGCTAATGGAGGATAGAGGTCACAGTGTCGTGATGTTTATATTGACGAGACTCTTTCGCCTTGTATAAACATCTGCACTGTTTTGGTTTTCTGCTAAATTTCTCTTTTTAACACGGCTAACAAAACCAACTGCACATCCCTTTAGATTTGAATATGGAGTACTGTGTATGTGCCGATTCAGAATGCCCATATGACATGTGTCCTATCAGAGGAGATTTGTCCACCTTTGACTGCATGTTATTTTAAAGTCACCTTGCTGTGCTTTCTCCACTGAATAGTTGGCATCTTGCAGCAGTTTGGCAATAACTGACTCGATGTCTTCTCCCACGTATCCAGCTTGAGTTAGTGTGGTGCAATCGCATATGGCAAAAGGAACATCCAGACAACGTGCC